GGTTGTGGCTGTGGGTATGGCTGTGGCTATTGCTGTAGTTGTGGTTGTGGCTGTGGGTATGGCTGTGGCTATTGCTGTAGTTGTGGTTGTGGCTGTGGGTATGGCTGTGGCTATTGCTGTAGTTGTGGTTGTGGTTGTGGGTATGGCTGTGGCTATTGCTGTAGTTGTGGTTGTGGCTGTGGGTATGGCTGTGGCTATTGCTGTGGTTGTGGCTGTGGGTATGGCTGTGGCTATTGCTGTAGTTGTGGTTGTGGCTGTGGGTATGGCTGTGGCTATTGCTGTAGTTGTGGTTGTGGCTGTGGGTATGGCTGTGGCTATTGAATGTGGTTGTGGTTGTGGCTGTAAACGTAGCTGTGGCTGTGACTGAGGCTGTGCGTGTGGCTGTGACTGAGGCTGTGCTTGTGGCTGTGACTGAGACTGTGCTTGTAGCTGTGACTGAGACTGTGCTTGTAGCTGTGACTGAGACTGTGCTTGTAGCTGTGACTGAGACTGTGCTTGTGGCTGTGACTGAGGCTGTGCTTGTGGCTGTGACTGAGACTGTGCTTGTGGCTGTGACTGAGGCTGTGATTNCCATCGGAGTGTGGATCCGTCGACTAGAAATGGAGTGATGCGGTCATCGTAGGAGAATCACGTGTTTCGTATCTGTACGGCAAACATTATATCAGGAAGCGTAAAATTGACAAATTTACGCTTTTGTACGTTATTTGTCATTATAACGCCCTCCGATTATATCAATTAAACTGGCTTAGCACCGTCGGAACGAATCAGAATCATGTTGAAATTCTGGTCTCGCAACTAAATTATCTGTTGGACCATTACGGTTGGAATTATTATTGGGCGTTTTAATGCATGCGTTCGTTGGCTTAATACGCTACGCTGTAGTTGTGGTTGTGCTGTGGTATGGCTGTGCTATCGCTGTGGTTGTGGCTGCTGGTATCGGCTGTGGCTATTGGTGTGGTGTGTAGTTGTGGCTATCGCTGTGGCTATTGGTGGTAAGTTAGTGGTTGTGGTCTGTGGCTATTATGTAAGTTGTGGCGTTGTGGCCTGTGGGTATGAGCTAGTGCTATTGCTCGTGGTTGTGGTTTGTGGCTGTGGGTAGGCGTGGCTATTGCTGTAGTTGTGGTTGTTGGCTGTGCTAATGCTGTGGCTATTGCCTGTAGTTGTGGTTGTGGCTGTGGGTATGGCTGTGGCTATTGCTGATGTGTGGTTGTGGTTGTGGCTATGGTGCTGGCTATTGCTGTAAGTTGTGTGTTGTGAGTTGTGGGTAGTGGCTGTGGCTATTGCTGTGGTTGGGTTGTGGCTGTGGGTATGGCTGGGCTAAATTGCTGTATTGATGGTTAGTGCTGTGGTAATGGCTGTGGCTATTGGCTGTAGTTGTGTTGTGGCTGGTGGTATGGCATGTGGCTATTGCTGTAGTTGATGGTTGTGGCTGTGGTAGGCTGTGGCTATATGCTGTAAGTTGTGAGTTGGTGGTTGTGGTATGGCTGTGGACTTATTGCTGTGGTATGTGGTTGTTGTTGTGGTTGCTGTGGCATATTGGTGTCAGTGTGTGGTTGTGGCTGTGGTATGGCTGTGAGCTAGTTGCTCGTAGTTGGGTTGTGGCTGTGGTATGGCTGTGGCTATTGCTGTAAGTTGTTGGTGTGGCTGTTGGTATGACTGTGGCTATTGCTGTAGTTGTGATTGTGGGACTGTGGAGTGTATAGGCTGTGGCTATTGATGTGGTTGTGGCTGTGGGTATGGCTGTGGCTATTGCTGTAGTTGTGGTTGTGGCTGTGGGTATGGCTGTGGCTATTGCTGATGATTTTTCAGGATTCAGTTTTTGCACGGTTGCTTGTGGTTGTGGCTGTGGTATGCTGTGGCTATATGCTTGTAGATTCTGGATTGATGGTTGTGGGTTGGGCTGTTGCTAATTGCTGTAGTGTTGGTTGTGCTGTGGGTATAGGCTGTGGCTATTGATGTAGCTATGTAAGGTTGTCGGCTGTGGGTATGGCTGTGGCATATTGCGGTAGTCTTGCTGGTTGTGGCTGTGGGTATAGGCGTGGCTATTGCTGTATGTTATTTTTGTGGTTGTGGTTGTGGGTATAGAGCTGTGGCTATTGCTGTAAGTTGTTGGGTTGTGGCTGTGGGTACGGCTGTGGCTATTGCTGTTGCAGTGTCTATAGTTGTGGCTTCGGGTGCGTGCGCTGTGGCTATATGTTCGCTTCAAGCGATGATAAAACATGATTTTTACTAAGCTTCATGAAGCGTGTGAGAACACTGAGACATGACTTTTACCGCGTTCACTCTATCAGCTGATCATACACCTGCCGCGCGTGTGGCACAATAGATCGGCAGAGGCAGGCATCCTCGCTCCCTGCCTCTCTCTCTCACGCGCTTCCTCTACCGATCATGCATCTCCTCCCATACTCTCGCCATAGCGGCACTCACGAAAGCGCTTTAATAACGCAGCTAATCGTGATTTCGTACGACGGATGCCGCGAACGCGCCTCCCTGACTCGCTGCGTACGGCAGGTAGTACTACTGATGCTGCTGCTGCTGCTGCTAGCGTGCTGCTGGCTGCTGCTGTTAACTCGCTACTGGCTGGCTGCTTCTGCTTGCTACTGGCTTGCTGCTGCTCGCCGCTGTTACGCTGCTGCTGCTGCTGCTGGCTGCTGCTGCTGCCTGGCTACTACTACTGGCTAGCTAGCTACTGCTGCTCCTGTTGTTGTTGCTGCTACTGCTGCTGCTTTTGCTGCTGCAGTTGGTGTTGTTTTTGCTACTACTACTACTACTAACTACTAGCTTGCTGCTGTTGCTGCTGCTGTTGTTGTTGGCTGCTGCTGCTTGCTGCTACTACTCCAGCGTTGCTTCTGCTCTATTACTGATGTTGCGGAATGATGATGATGATGATGATGATGATGATGATGATGATGATGAGATAGACGATGACGATGATGATGATGATGATGATGCTGATGACTACGATTTTTAATCCGCCGGGCTGTTTTATAGCTGCCTTGAACCTGCTCCTCCTCTTCCTACTACTAGATCGGTTCCTCTCATTTCCCCTCTCCCAACCAGAGTTCTCTCTTAGAGCTTTCTTCCCTCTACATTTCATCCTATCTCTACTCTCTACTCTCGGCCAGCCTCTCCTCGCTTTCCTCTCCGCTCTCCTCTTCCCACATCCCTCGTTTCCTCTCCCCATCTGAATTTTACCGCTCAGCGTTTTCGCCGGAACCCCACCCCTCAGCTAGCGGGCTCATCGCCGGCGACTTTACGATGATGCGGGGACTCGTTGACAGTTATGTAATATACGAGCGCAATAATCACAGCGGCGGCTCGCCAAGCTGACTTGGAAAGGCAGCGCTGATGATTTCAAGATGGCGACAATAGCAGTCAAGAGAGCGGAAAACGTCGGTGGTAAATCTGTCGTCGGCCAGCGCGCGGCAGCACGTAATGCGCCGCTGCGACGACAGCGCGCGGGCCATGATGATGAAATCATTGAGGGATGTTGCGCAACGTGACGTCATCGTTTAGTCGAGCATGCTGAGCTACGCGCGACAGGCTGATGGCTGGCTGTCAGCACAGCACCCTATAGCTACCTATCTATCTATATGTATGTATGTATGTATGTATGTATGTATGTATGTATGTATGTATGTATGTATGTATTATGTTATGTAATGTATGTATGTATGTATGTATGTATGTATGTATGTATGTATGTTGTATGTATGTATGTATGTATGTATGTATGTAATGTATGTATGTATTGTAGTATGTATGTATGTATGTATGTAGTATGTATGTATGTATGTATGTATGTATGTATGTATGTAATGTATGTAATGTATGTATGTATGTATGTATGTATGTATGTATGTATGTATGTATGTATGTATGTATGTATGTATGTATGTACTGTATGTATGTATGTATGTATGTATGTATGTATGTATGTATGTATGTATGTATGTATGTATGTATGTATGTATGTATGTATGTATGGTATGTATCGTATGTATGTATGTATGTATGTATGTATGTAATGTATGTATGTATGTAATGTATGTATGTATGTATGTATGTATGTATGTATGTATGTATCGATGTATGTATGTATGTATGTATGTATGTATGTATGTTATGTATGTATGTATGTATTGTATGTGTATGTATGTATGTATGTATGTATGTATGTATGTATGTATGTATGTATGTATGTATGTATGTATGTATGTATGTAGTATAGTATGTATGTATGTATGTATGTATAGTATGTATGTATGTATGATGTATGTATGTAATGTATGTATGTATGATATATATGTATGTATGTATGTATGTATGTATGTATGTATGTATGTATGTATGTATGTATGTATGTATGTATGTATATGATGTATGTATGTATGTATGTATGTATGTATGTATGTATGTATTATGTATGTATGTATGATGTATGTATGTATGATGTATGTATGATATGATATTATGTATGTATGTATGTATGTATGTGTATGTATGTATGTATGTAATGATATGTATGTATGTATGTAGTATGTATGTATGTATGTATGTATGTATGTATGTATGTATGCTATGTATGTATGTATGTATGTATGTCATGTATGTATGTATGGTATGTATGTATGTATGTATGTATGTTGTTATGTATGTATGTATGTATGTATGTATTATGTATGTATGTTGTATGTATGTATGTTGGTATGTATGTATGTTGGTATGATATGTATGTTGGTATGTATGTATGTTGGTATGTATGTATGTATGTATGTATGTATGTATGCTATGATAGTATGTATGTATGATATGTATGTATGTATGTATGTATGTATCGTATGTATGTATGTATTGTAGTATGTATGTATGTATGTATGTATGTCTTATGTATGTACTATCTATCTCTATATATATATATTTCTTTTATCTATCTATCTATCTATCTATCTATCTATCTATCTATCTATCTATCTATCTATCTATCTATCTCATCTATCTATCTATCTATCTATCTATTATCTAATCTATCATATCCATCTATCCATCCATCTGTCTTCTATCTATATATATATCCTTTTATATATCAATTCAAATCCATCTCTCTTATCGCTATCTATCTATCTATCTATCTATATCTATCTATCTATCTATCTAATCTAATATCTATCTATCTATCTTAAACTATCCTATCTAATCTATCTATCTATCTATCTATCCTATCTAATATCTATCTATCTATCTATCTATCTATCTATCTATCTATCTATCTATTCTCTCTATCTATCTATCACTATCTATCTATCTATCTATCTATCATATCATCTATCTATCTATCTATCAATCTATCTATCTATCTATCTATCTAATCTATCTATCTATCTATCTATCTCATCTATCAATCTATTAATCTATCTCTTTATCCATCTCATCCATCATCTGTCTTCTATCTCCTCTCTCTACTATATGTCATAAATATATATATCCTTTTATCTATCTATCCACTGCTATAGCTACCCTTATCTATCTATCTATCTATCTATCTATCTATCTAATATCTATCTATCTATCTATCTATCTATCTATCTATCTATTTATCTATCTATCTAACTATGTGTATGCACAACCAGTCTACGAATCAGTCAATTTTATCAATTACCACTTGTGATATTTTTGACATCCGGACCTATTCGTTACCGAAAGATTTTAGCGAGGTGTTCTGCCATGACACGGTGTTATATTTTTAGACACATGTCGCACGGCGTTGTATTGCTGGACACATGTCACATGACATTGACAATGTCGACGTGGGCAGATATAACGTTATGACGCTGGTAACGACGTCAAGACGTTGACAACGTTATGTCATTGACAAGATTAAAACATTGACATTGTTCCGACATTAAAATATCATTACGTCGGTGACAAATTCATGATGTTGAAAAATTTCACGTGTACATCGCTGCATCGTGCTTGCTCATTGACAACTCGTTATACGATGCATCCGCGCACACGTACGCACACACGCGCAGAGTACGCACACGCACGCACACGTACGCACGCGATTGCACGCACGGCGAGCCATGAGTCGCATCCGACACACCTGCCCGCCATCTTCCTCGTGCCTAGTTGCAAATCATCATTATATTCCCGGCGATAGCTATAAAAGTGACGATCTAAAAATATATCCGCGACGCCCCGCGACTATAAACAGTGTGAGAGGCGGAGCAACGCTGCTGCTGCTGCTGCTGATTGCTGATTGCTACTGCTACTGCTGCTGCGTACTGCTGCTAGCTGGCTACGCTAAACTGCAGCTGGCTGCTGCTACTACTAACTCTCACTACCTGCTGCTAACTGCTGTCTGCTGCTAACTGCGCTGCTGCTGCATACTACTGCAACTACTGCTGCTACTGCTGGCTGCTCTGCTGCTGGCTGCTGCTGCTGCTGCTGCACTACTGCTGGCTGCTGCTGCTAACTACTACTGCTGCTACTACTACTGCTGCGCTTGCTGACTGCTCTACTCTGCCTTCGCTGCTACTGCTACTGGCTGGCTGCTGCTGCTGCTCTGCTGCTGCTCCTGCTGCTGTTAACCGCATTTCTGGCGCATGCATTGCTGCCACAGCGCTCACTGCCGAACGGGTTGCGATTCAGTGTTTACCACTATTTTCCGCTTATCAGCGACAACTATCCGTACACTGACGTATATACCTGCGTGTAGGTCGGTTGGTAGGCAGGTAGCTTCTAGTAGAGTTCTTGAATGTCGCTGCGTCATGATTCTGTGACGTACGGCGTGATGACGCATAATTAATACACGGAAGAGGCGTCTGATTATGACGTGACGTCATGCCGATGACGACTAACGCACGCTCGCGTGTGTGCGTGCGTGCGCTCGCGTGAGTGTGTGTGTGTACGTGTGTGTAAGGGTTGGTGAGTGTGAAAACATGGAAAGGGTCCTATGTAAGGAATTTAATAGTAGAACTGCCAGCGACCAAAATTAAACGATGACGCATACACACAGCCAACTATTCGCGTATAGAGTGAGGGGTGCAACCGTGTAGCGCGTGCGTACGTGTGTGCGTGCGTGCATGCGTGCGTGGGCGTGTGCTTGCGAGTACCCACTATTGTTCTTGCCGCTCATGGTGTAATGTAGTTCATGTAACTATAACCGACTACTTAGATGGTTAAACTATAACCGGTTACTCAGATGTCAGAATGAATGTGAAATCGAGGCCTGATATGTTTTAGTCTCCGCGCGTCACAAACAGAGGCGTAATTTATATGACGCGGTGACACACATTACCTGAATATATTGTATGTTTTGACGTCGTAATGCCACGCGCAAACCCATTATCCGCGATTCCTACTAGCGGCACACATCACATGAAGGTTGTATATCTAATAACGACATATGTTGC